ACGTCGAGACGAACAACAATCATGGACCATCGACTCGGACCATCGGCTCTGAGGAAGACGAAGACGTCGAAACGTTAGCCGAAAATAAATGTATTTGTCAACCTCGTGTAAGCTTATCAAGAAAGAATACATATTGACTAGAGATCTATATTTCCTTGGGATTTTCCTTCGCCATTTTTCACACTCATCTGGCACCAACTCTTTTCAACGAATGATCGTCCTATTTATCTTCAGCATGGTCATATTCGCCCTATTACAAACATAGTACGTCTGGAGAAAGCCAGAACTACGAAGTTTGGCCTTTTATTTCATTCATTAGCTATTTAGATAGGAGTCGAGTGCTCTGCTCAAAACATATGGGTGAAGTGATAACCTAGGTCTCATCTGCACTGCACAGTGCTTTAATGATCACTCAGTCAAGATGGAGCGTAGAGTTTTGTTCGCATTTTTGTTGAGCAAACGCGAGGTGTTATTATTCTTTGTTCACGATTAAGCTGACGTTTCGGCGGATTTCGCCTTCCTCAGAGCCTGGAAAGGTCAAGTTGACAGCAATCTACTCGGCCACACGCCTCCATAACCAAACAAAGAAACCCAAAACCAAGATTAATTAACCACCGATTAAGCACCTCGCTTAATCGTGAACAAAGAATAATAACACCTCGCGTTTGCTCAACAAAAATACGAAAAAAATCACTTGATCAATGCCGAGGTTAATAGAAAGTCGGTCGTGGTAGAGTTTTGTGTCCATTAGTTGGTTAGTGCCTTTTCTAGGTCTACGGTTAATATTTCCGAACCTTTTAGATACCTCTGAATGCCCATAGTTCTAGCTTTTTTCCTCTAAGTTGAACTGATTGAGCATAATCTTCACTAACCTTTGAAGAGACGGTGTTAGAGCTTTGTTATTTTGTTCCCAGCTGAACGGTAATAGTCACTTAGTCACTTTGGCGCATGCTTTCCTGAATTACAGTGGGAAAAGTGGAGACTCTAGGTCTGATAATTCTGCGGAGGAATGAACAGTGTTTTGCGAGCAGCAGATTGACACCTAGCAAAGCCTTTCAGTACGGTGTAGCGGTACACCATGGACAGGGACGGGTAATTTCTATCCGACGTAATTTGCCGAGTCGCTTGATAAATGATCCAAAGGTTCATAATTTTTCTATGAGCACAAGTATGACGTTGCACAACTTCACTTTAACTCGATATAACTTTCTTTCCATCAGAATTTTTTCTTTAACGTGTCGCTCGCTTCGTCGCAGTCGAGTGGTTGTTTCCTTTTTTTATGTGAATGTACTTTTCCGTGTATTGTATGACCATGTTAGAGGCTTCCATCTCCACTCAAGAAGTTCGACTTTTGAGCGCATTTTTCCAGATGTCTACTATTGTGAAATTGTTAGAGATTGAAGACACCACATCGAATGCTCAGGTGAGTTGATGCGATCAACACGTTCACCGTGGACTGTTTGGTAAAGTTTACACACTACACAATAAATCGTTTAAGAGACTTTGGAAGCATTTTTTAAATATCATAATAGATTTTAGTCGGGGAATCGTGTTTATCATCCAGTTATCTGGGTGCTGAACATGAACAGACCTTCCGTTCATGTTTTTCTTTATGAGTGAAGAGGATCCTTCACCGAAAACAAGTTAGTCGATAAGTTGCCGGTGATCTTACATCATCTAACCATTAACATCAAGTCGATGTTGTCATTTAGAGTCCAATTCGGGCTTCTTAGGATCATGGTTTGTACTGATAAGCGATAACGGTCAGCGAACGCCACAATAACCTATTGATCAGTGCCGATGTTAGTGGGGAGTCACTTTTTGTAATCTACTAATCACACTTCACTTTTCATCTTTTCATAAACATAATGGCAGTTGTATACATGCCCACTCTTTTGTGACTCGGTAATCCGTTCGAAAAATCAAGGCAAAATGTTTTATGAATTTGCAAAATTTAATACTATTGCTTGAAGTTCTGCCGTATCACATCGTCCTTAATGGCTCGATCACCGACTAGCAGGAACCACCTCCTTCGTCCACAAGAACTTTTCTGGAGAGTTCTCAATCACAAGGCAGCAAGCTTTACGTCTATCTACTTGATGACGGTGATTTTCTGTGGAGAAGACCTGGAAACCCTCTAGCACCTTGAGTTCTCAGGTAAAATCACGCTTGAACAGCGTTGAACTCGTCACAGAGGAGAGAAGTTTGAGGATTCTCTGTTTGCATTCGAACGAGTACTTGAACGTCATCTCCATGAATGACAATTCCAAGATAACGAAACAAATAGAAAAAGGACTCCTCGTACGTTACGCATGGACGGGGTATTTAAATAAATAGGTAAGTATTTGAAGAAGCTTACGACTTTAATAGGCACTCAAGGCGCATCGGTACCTTGTTCAAACTTGTTTGGTCACAATTAAAACATTATGTGCGCGTTTTCAGACAGAACACTTTGTAGGCGAACTGTTGTTGTTCTTCGTCTAACATCAAATCGATTTGCTTTTCTTTCCAAACTTTCTACGTTAACTTTATGAGCTTCTCAGCCAGCATCCAAAAGTAAGCGCCGTTTTGGATATCCCAGATTCTATGCAGTTTAAAACGTCTATTCTATTGACGTTATGATTTGATATTTCCTTAAAGAATTTGGTTTCTACTGCTGCCTTCATGTTTTACTTTGTTCTCCTTGTTTATCATGAGACCAGTGTCACTAATATGCTCAACTCCAATCGAACTTAGTAGGCAGATGGAGAGTATTTTAACAATGTGGTGAACGTCGTCGTTCAGATAACGGATTACATTGAATTGATCTGGGTGTTTATCGTAGGGAATTCTCTTCCTCGTTTTGTTCAAGTTCAAAAAAAAAACGAGTAACTTCACTGCAGCATAATGTCATAAACTACAAAAGAAGAGAAAGATTTCGGCACTTGGATAATATAATTAAGAGATGCCGCAGCAGTTCCCTCGATGAAAGGATGAGTGATACGGTTACGATAGTTCTGATACCGAATTAACCGAATCTTGGCTGCGGAACGTATCAGACTTGACAACGGAGAGAAACTCGTATCAACCAGGAAGAACTAGTTAAACTTTAATTTGAACTCTCTGTACAGATTTCTATTCATTCAAATAGTTGTTGAGTTGATTGAGAGTCATCTTCGCGAATAGATATGTCTCTAGAACACCCATTCCAAACATTCCATTAAGCCATTTCTTTCGGATCATTTCTACGGTTATTGTTAATCATTCATAAACAATACAAATCGCACCGAAATGCGTAGCCTGCTGTTTGGCTCTAGCGAAAAGCAAGCATACCCACCTCATAGGTGTTTTCTAGAGATCTATATTTCGAAACCGACTTTCTCTAAACCTCGGTGTGACTAATCAATATGTATTCTTTCTTGATAAGCTTGCACGAGGTTGATAAATATATTTATTTTCGTTTAGAGAAAGTCGGTTTCGAAATATTACTTCTACGCTTTGTGCTAGCTGATAATAACACCGACTTCTGCACGATGTCCGCAACGATGTATGCCCGGAAGAAATACAAGCTGTTACCACCGGACATTACCATTATATATCCACCATCAGCATCGTGTATAAGAGGGCATCACTGAGTGAGGATGCCTCATTCGATTCGAGAAGATGGCTCACTGAGGAAGACCTGGCTCGACACGAAGGCGAAGCTGCAACGTCGAGACGAACAACAATCATGGACCATCGACTCGGACCATCGGCTCTGAGGAAGACGAAGACGTCGAAACGTTAGCCGAAAATAAATATATTTGTCAACCTCGTGCAAGCTTATCAAGAAAGAATACATATTGACTAGAGATCTATATTTCCTTGGGATTTTCCTTCGCCATTTTTCACATTCATCTGGCACCAACTCTTTTCAACGAATGATCGTCCTATTTATGTTCAGCATGGTCATATTCGCCCTATTACAAACATAGTACGTCTGGAGAAAGCCAGAACTACGAAGTTTGGCCTTTTATTTCATTCACTAGCTATTTAGATAGGAGTCGAGTGCTCTGCTCAAAACATATGGGTGAAGTGTTAACCTAGGTCTCATCTGCACTGCACAGTGCTTTAATGATCACTCAGTCAAGATGGAGCGTAGAGTTTTGTTCGTATTTTTGTTGAGCAAACGCGAGGTGTTATTATTCTTTGTTCGCGATTAAGCTGACGTTTCGGCGGATTTCGCCTTCCTCAGAGCCTAGAAAGGTCAAGTTGATAGCAATCTACTCGGCCACACGCCTCCATAACCAAACAAAGAAACCCCAAACCAAGATTAATTAACCACCGATTAACCACCTCGCTTAATCGTGAACAAAGAATAATAACACCTCGCGTTTGCTCAGCAAAAATACGAAGAAAATTACTTGATCAATGCCGAGGTTAATAGAAAGTCGGTCGTGGTAGAGTTTTGTGTCCATTAGTTGGTTAGTGTCTTTTCTAGGTCTACGGTTAATATTTCCGAACCTTTTAGTTACCTCTGAATGCCCATTGTTCTAGCTTTTTTCCTCTAAGTTGAACTGATTGAGCATAATCTTCACTAACCTTTGAAGAGACGGTGTTAGAGCTTTGTTATTTTGTTCCCAGCTGAACGGTAATAGTCACTTAGTCACTTTGGCGCATGCTTTCCTGAATTACAGTGGGAAAAGTGGAGACTCTAGGTCTGATAATTCTGCGGAGGAATGAACAGTGTTTTGCGAGCAGCAGATTGACACCTAGCAAAACCTTTCAGTACGGTGTAGCGGTACACCATGGACAGGGACGAGTAATTTCTATCCGACGTAATTTGCCGAGTCGCTTGATAAATGATCCAAAGATTCATAATTTTTCTATGAGCACAAGTATGACGTTGCACAACTTCATTTTAACTCGATATAACTTTCTTTCCATCAGAATTTTTTCTTTAACGTGTCGCTCGCTTCGTCGCAGTCGAGTGGTTGTTTCCTTTTTTTATGTGAATGTACTTTTCCGTGTATTGTATGACCATGTTAGAGGCTTCCATCTCCACTCAAGAAGTTCGACTTTTGAGCCCATTTTTCCAGATGTCTACTACTGTGAAATTGTTAGAGATTGAAGACACCACATCGAATGCTCAGGTGAGTTGATGCGATCAACACGTTCACCATGGACTGTTTGGTAAAGTTTACACACTACACAGTAAATCGTTTAAGAGACTTTGGAAGCATTTTTTAAATATCATAATAGATTTTAGTCGGGGAATCGTGTTTATCATCCAGTTATCTGGGTGCTGAACATGAGCAGACCTTCCGTTCATGTTTTTCTTTATGAGTGAAGAGGATCCTTCACCGAAAACAAGTTAGTCGATAAGTTGCCGGTGATCTTACATCATCTAACCATTAACATCAAGTCGATGTTGTCATTTAGAGTCCAATTCGGGCTTCTTAGGATCATGGTTTGTACTGATAAGCGATAACGGTTTTCCGACATAGTGAATGACGAGAGATGAGTGCGACGTATTTTTACAATGTTTCTGATCGGTATTATGAAAATAGAAGAAGTAAACGATTATATAGTATCGATATTGTAAGTCGGATTTCAATGTGATGGGATAAGGAAAGACGTCAATGTGTTCTTTCACAGAGGTATTAGCGTATACACTTGCCGTACCCTGCTCTAACTCTAAGCAATTCTTCACGTCGTCTTGAGAAAACGTAAAAGTATCTAACGTAAAGTCTTCAACGGGTTTCATTGTGGTTGATAGGACAGCATAAGATTCATTCAAAAAGAAAAGACTTTTTGTAAAGCAGAATTTAAGAAAAAAAACTTTTGAAAAATATAGCTTGATTGGTATTTTAGTTGGTCAGAGATATTCATAGGATCGTAGTCTATTACATTACGATGGAATAAGAAACTCGTCGTATGTTGCGACATTTTGACATTCGTGACTGGTGTTGTTATCGTCACTTATTTTTAAAATTGTAGTAGAGATAGTCTTCTTCATATAAGGGAACTAGGAACAACTTGGTACTTCGAATAGTTCCCGATTTTTTATGGGAAATTTCTCGGAATGGCTACAAGACTTATAACCTTACGAAGGTGATGTTTCAACAGTTTGGGTGTTATTCTAACATTGATGAAGTTTGTTAGCACTTCCAGTTAATGAAAATTCAACACCTTTGCGTTGAAACTGGTTTTTCGATAAGAGGCGACATTTCCCGGTATTTAGAGCATTTCAGGAGTACAGAACTTTATGGATTTACACCAGAGGCTTTGTCCTATTCTATATTTCTACATTGTTTTTTAATTTAAAGACGTTTACAAACTTTCAAAAATTTACGGCGAAATTTAAGTTTTTAAAATTTCTACAAAAATCCGGAAAAAATGCAAGCATGAAAGCCAGGTTGAGGAATACTGTCTTATCTCACCGGGCGAAATTCTGTTAGTTTTCTTCTTTTTTTGTTCGAAATGTGAGCATTGAGGCAATTAAGTGGAAGAAATACGTGTTATGGGACCATGAATTGTGATATGTTGATCTAAAGATAAAAGCGACCATTTCCGCGCTATATGACTCCTATAGAGGTCACAACATAGCGGATGTGTTAAGTAGCATTCAAACTACCAGCCATTAAAAAGACTAAGATTATTAAACACATTCAATTCTAGAGAGTGTCAAACGTTATTTTTTTTTGGTACCTTATATTTATAACATTTTTCACAAGTTTGCTCGTCGTTTTAACAGTACCCTCTGAGAGGTAGTATTTTGATCGGAAGCTAACATATGGGCCACATTTAGATGGTTTGATGGTCCGTTCTGATGTGTCATACAAACCCCACCACTTCTTCCATTATTTCATCGTCTGTAACTATCATTTCTAGAGTTCGAGTATATCATATGTTGGTTTTTTGCTGCTTGAGGTACCATATTTATCCTCACTTGCCTCCTGGATGCTGCACGAGCTGGTAGGAACTGTTCGAAATCCGAGCGCTGGTTAAATCGGAAAAGAGATTTGTGATCTTGTAACTATGATACCATCAGTATAGGAGTTACTCTTGCGATTAGTCCTGATGCGATTGTGGGCGACGTATGTACGATCCGTTTCTGATCTTCGATGAAAGCATCTGGAGACGGAACTATCATGAAATCGCAACGTTTTAAACTATTATTATGAAACCGTAGTGAACTACAAACCTCGTATTAGAGATTCATCCTCCATCTTTTGAAGAAAAGGATAAACTCAACACTACTAGAAATTTGTGCTTTCTTCAAGCTGCTCTCACACTCTTATTCTCTTGGCGAGTTACTGCATAGAGTTCCACTCAAGTTGGAAATATGGACCGACTTTTTTTTGCATGTTCAACTAGTCTGATCGCAGTCGTTCATCGTTACAGTTCATTTGCAGTAACCGACAGGCCGAGACTGGAGTGGGTTTCTCATATAATTAATGAGCATGCAAAGTTAGAATTATGATTACTACTTAACCTGTTTGGATTTGTTTTTTTACATCGTTCTTAAGATGACGTCCGATTATCTTAGAATTTCTTGCTGTCCCGGGAATCGTTGCTGTCTTCGAAGAATCCCACTCATAAACAGCAAGCATTTTTACAAATCCTTTGGCTGTCTCTGATAAGGAGCTGGAAGTATACTAATACGGGTATCTCTAAATTCGAAAGCAAATTACGGCCCATCAACATCCAGCATGTTGATGAAAAGAGAAGGTGGTGGCGGGTGCCCCACTCACAGTGTAACCGACATCTGTTCCCTATCATCGTCAACGATGACACTTATGTGACAGCGAAACTAACATCAAAAAACGAGGTTTAAAAGAAGACTTTTGTGAATTATTAAGTGTAGAGAACAGCTTTTCACTAGAAACTCCTGATATTGGATCCATTTTTGATAATCCGTCGATGGAATACAGAAATGCGGTAGGAAGAGTTCTATAAGCCAATGAACAGACGTGATCCTACTTTGGATCAGGTGGTTGTCACGGCGCTAACTAGCAAAAACACAGTTTAGTTTTATATGAGTTCTTTCTACTTGATGAAGACAGAAACTATTATTCATTGGCAAAGAAGAACTTCTTTTACTTCTAATTGAAGGAATACAAAAAAAACTTATTTTAGCAATTTATAATTTGTAATTGTTTATGAAAATAGCAAACCATTGATTGCTCCTGTCCCTTCTTCCCTTAAACATCAGTAACCGGTCAAGCATTTAATTTCAATGTGTTTCCGATGAAAAAGCTCTCGGCTTTGATCAATCCTTGAGTGATGCGCCATGCATTCGACTTCATTAAGCATCGTTTGGAGGTGATTGAATGCACATCTGGCCTTTACGACAACTCTGTGGTCTAATCATGTGTCGAGCCAGTGCTGCTATCCTCCTAAACAAGTTTGGTACCAATTTTCCGAACCCGGAGAGATGAAAGGCTTGGTGGGCCACGGGCGCGGGGTTCGATTCCATGTGTGTGTTGATGGGCGCCCCCAACTACTGCCCCCAGACGCGCCCTAGTGTTTCCGATCCACTTGTATCACCTGTAGTCCCGCTGATTGTCGAGTGACTCCAGCGGGCGTTTCCTTGTCGCTTGCAAGAGTAGTAAAGATCAGTGGATTTTGATCGCTCTAGGGACTCATCGAGCATCGTATCTTTCTTCTAGACTCGTCGTGAAGAACTCTAACCATCGGGTCGGTGGTCTTTCTGCAGTAAGTTTGACATCCGGAGGAATCCAGTCACTCACGGTTCTTGTCCATCAGTTGTCATTCATACGCAATACGAGTCCGGCCTACTTTATCTTCGACCGTTTGGCGTACAGAACGGCATCTTTGATTTTTGATCGTTGACGCAGGTCGGAGCTTTGAATTCCATCCCTTACTTGCGTGAACCGAGATACTCTTAGCATCGCGCTTTCGACTGCGCGCTCGATAACGCTGAGTGATCTTTAATCCTGCTTAAGCAGCGACCAGGTTTCTGACGCATACGTTAGGGCAAGAAGTACTGTTAAGTCGGAACGGTGGGCACGGAGTCCTGTGTTCCTTGTCCTCTTCACTGCATCCTCGATTCTCTTCAAGCTCCCCAAGCCGCTCATTTCCTTCTGCTCAGCACTGGAGCTAAGTCCTTCATTATATTGATTTCCCGACCTAAATAGACATAACTGGAGCATTCGGAGATATTCGTTCCGTTGAGCGTGAATGGAGCATACGAAATTAATCCGTTCTTCATTAGGGTCGTTTTTGTGAGATTTAGTCGAAGACCAGTCTTTCCACAGGCTTTATCAAAGTCGGCAAGCATATGTTCCACTTGGCTAATGTTTGGGGTCATAAGGACGATGTCATCAGCAAAGCGAAGATGATGTAACTGCTGACTATCGATTTGCACCCCCATATTATTCCATTCCAATGTTTGCATGACGTTTTGGAGGGTGGCGGTAAATAATTTTGGCGAGATGGTATCGCCTTGCCTAGCTCCTCTTTTGACGTCAATGTTAGTGTCCTTGTAGAATGGTGTCGTCTTGGTTATGAAATTTTTGTACAGCTCACGAAGAATCTTTATGTACTGAATAGAGACTCCTTAACTATCAAGGGCTTCCATGATTGCTTCTATCTCAGTTGAATCCGAAGCCTTCTGTAAATCGATGAAAGTGAGACAGAGCGGCCTTTTGTGCTCTCGCGATACTTCAATGAGCCTTGTTGTCTTGTGGATGTGGTCCATCGTACTAAATCCTTTTCGAAACTCTGCTTGCTTACATAACTGTCTTTCGTTTAGTGTTTTGTCAATGCTATTTTGGATGACTCGAGTGAAAAGTTTGTAGACGACAGACAGCAAGCGGATTGGGCGATAGTTGCCGATATCGTTTAGGTCACCCTTCTTGAACAATAGCACGGTCTTACTGGTTTTCCACTAAGCAGGACCTTGCATTCGGACAGGTAACGAGTGAAGAGCCGAGCCAGTGTGTTTACGAGGGCTGGAGGAAGGTTCTTCAGGTGTTCTGATCTTATCCTGTCCGGACTTAGTGCTGTTCGACTTTTCACCGACGAAACAGCATGTCAGATTTCGGAAGGGAGAGCCGATGGTAGAACATATCCATCCTGCTTTGTTTCATATGACGGAAGGTGGACGTGGAGCCTCCAGTTTCGCACAGTGTTTCCGATTACGGGTTCAAAACTTATATTTCAGCTCCGGTTAAATAAATAACGTTAAACATAGCTTTTTGCTAGGAGTATTTGAAGTGGTTTTAGTTTTTCTAACTGTTTAAGAATGCACAATTCAGTATGGAGCGGCATTACGTAGTACGGCGCATGCGTTCGTCGAAGCCCTGGAGATGTTCGATGACGCGAAACGAGCCGATCGAAAGGATTGGAAGCTGAAAGCCGAGCAGAAAGGCGATAAGTGCTATAACAAGCACTTCTCCCTTGGAAAAGTCTACTACTTAAAAGTTGGTGAATCAGTAATACAAGCTTCAAATTAGGTTCTCAATGGATCTTTTGGCGCAAAAGAAACGGAATTCGAGTTGGGATAATCAACGTCAGATTTCGTTTCAGCAGTGCTAGAACGGAATAGATGAGAAGGATAGTGTTCTTCCTTTCTCTGGATCTTTTCGCTTCATTTCTCTACAAGAATTTTTCATCAGTGTTTAGGGGAAAAGCATTTCTTCCACTTTCATTCAAGACTTATCTATTGATTGCATTCTTATGTTCATTAGTCTTAGAGAGCTATTGAGAGAAGAAAAGTCACTTGTCTTTAGCCATAATGTTCGATGCTGTTAAGTACTCCAGACACTACATATTTTTAGTGAATACATTTATTTGATATGAAGTAACTTCTTGTTTTTTTTCTACAGAAAATGTTCAACATGGATATGGAAACGCTCTTTCGTCATCACTGGGACGAGGTGAGATTTTGCATAACTGTGAGATTTTATATGTTATATGAGAGGCAGGGCGCGTGTGGAGCAGTGGTTGGTGGCGCCACTGCGACACACACGCGGAATCGATCCTCGCGCCCATGACCAACCAAGCCCTCAATCCCTCCGGGGTTGGCAAATTGGTGCCAGACTTGTCTGGGAGGATAGCAGCACTGGCTTGATACATCGGTAGGCAAGTCATTGTAAAGGCCAGATATGCATTCAGTCCCCTCCAACAATGCTTAATGCAGTCGAATGTAGGGCACATCCCTCACGGATTGGTCAACGCCGAGAGCTTTATCCTTTAGCACTCTATATGCGGACCCGCTGTCTTGTTAAAATATATTTGTATACTAGACTTCTGTTATTTCGCTCTGTCGTGTTCTTTTAAAAATTGGAATTGTGAGTAGTTAGTGAAAGTCTTGTTGTCGTTGTGGAATGTTTGTTCATTGCTAACTGAGGTCGACATAACGGCTTCGTCTTTCATAATATGCTTCTAAGTACAACCACAATGATGCTGAAATATTTGTAAAACTCGGGACCGCGGGTGTCTGCGGTGGGGAACGAACGCGCCTTTCTGGGGTCTAACGCGTTCACCACAACACCATGCGTGTCCTTCATTTCGCATGTCTCTCAGGCTGGTTCTACCGATTAGTGCCAAGGGCAATCACCCGTTACCAGGATTGATCTGGAAAGCCCAAATCGGCAGTGAACCTAGTTCAGCCGAATATCTCAGCATCACTGTGGTTGTATCACACATATTATCCTGCCATGAAAAATTGTAATAGGCAGTAAATAAAATAAGCTAACATTGTGATTTCGACTTCAGCCTCAGCTTAACTGGATTCATTGCCGATTAGAGCTGCCCAGATCAATCCCGTTGACGGGTGATTGCTGATGGCACTGGTCGATAGAGCTAGCTCTGAGATAGGCGAAACAAAGGACTCACATGGTGTGGTGGTGAACACGTTTGCTCCGTAAATAGCAATAGCGCGTTCGTTCTCCATCGCAGACAAATGCAGTCCGGAGTTTTGCAAATATCTCATAATCACTGTGGAGTTTGTCTGCTATCGATTTCTTCTCACATGTGAAGTCCGTGCTTGATCATTTTGATATAGGATTGGTAAAGATCTCAACGACATATCTTTATGCGTTCCTCTCTTTGAACCACTTCTAGAATTTTCTGTAGGTATCATTAAAGATCCTTCTGTACTGCCTTTCTGCGGACTAGACCATTTATTCGATGCGTGTAGCAGTAGAATCTTGGCTCAAGTCTGTTCTCCTTTTCACATGCTCTTTGGTGTGGTTTTGTACACGCTCAGAGCTTGTCTTTGAGCTAGGAAGTATTTGCTCATAACAGCTTCGCAGACTTTTCAGCAGTATCCTATATTTCTTTGTCAAATTCTCGTTTTAGCGTCAATCATATTTTATTGAATAGAGCATTGACCTAGGATGGATTCATGTACATGTCTTGCCTTCTTCTTTTTGCCTGAAACATTTCTTTCCTACTTTGTAATCGAAGCGAGGCGCGAAGAAGGCAATTAATCTAGAGAAAGAAGAGCAAACGACACCACGTCGAGTAGATTTCATCTTCTGTCCACAGGCATGTAATTATTTTTTTCATAAGCTCTATCGTTCGGTGAATTTTGCGTCCATTGGCGTCTTTCACTTCTTTCCTATTGAATTTCCATGAGACGAGCCGCAGAAAGTATATGATCGGAAATTTCGATTCTGCACTTATGTTCATGCTTCGTCCCCGTTCCGGAATTGAAAGCGCATGTAACGAATTCATAAAAGGATTTCCACGAGTCAGTGTAAAGACCAAATATACATTCACTCACCTCCAATGATGCTTAGCGAAGTCGAGTGCATGGCGCATCCATCAGGGCTGGATCGACGCCGAGAGGTTTATCCTTTAATAACTCGAAAGACCGACTTTCTATGAACCTCGGCATAAATAGTTGATATATTTATTTATGAGATCTTATAAACTGATCTTCTTAAGCTGACGCGAAGTTGGTACAGATCTTCGTTGTCGTTGTCGTTGTCGTTGTTTTTGATGTTATTGATCGATGGCTGACGTTTCGGCGACTTCGCCTTCCTCAGAGCCGTGATGTTACGTGCGGGACATAAAAAAAAAGGTTTATCCTTTATTTTTATGGGCGATAAAATCCCACTTGATGCAGTTTTGCAGTGTGCGCCAGCTAAAAGCACATAAAATGGTCTAAGGACACTGACCTTGTATTAGAGACCTTGACTTTGTGTTGCATGTACATAATAGTAATTAGTCCCTGCAGGGTGTTGTGGGTGTATCAGTGATTTTCAGATCCACTACTACCTTCTTTTTTCTGTTTTGAAAGTTAGTATATCCTGATTTCTCGTACAGTCCTGCGATATGGCGTTCTCATGTCCTTGCTACAGGTAGTCGCAAGTTTTTATGCAACAGAGGTAGTTTTGCTGCGTGAGTAGGTTTTCCCTAGGCGGCAACTATTCTTACTACGACAATGAATCCTGCGGTGCTCGAAGAACCACTTGAATATGATTCATTATGCTAATTCCATTACCAATGAAAAGGATAAAGCAGAAATCTCCTGACGTTGATCAATCCCTCAAGGACGCGCCATGCATTCGACTTCATGAAGTATCATAACTTGAGGATTCGTCATGAACTTCTGTCGAAGAAGCAGAGTCTCCTGTCTTGTTATGGAAACATACCTGGATCTGTAAACACTCTTAGATCCTAACTTTCATTTTTTCATGTATTCTTTCATTATGGCAGCATACGATGTGGTTGCCAACCACAAAGATTGTGAGATATGGAAAAACTTGGAACCTCAGTAGCGCTTCGAACGAGCGATTACTGGCTGAGGGAAGGGCAATAAGGCAATTCAAAGGGCTTGTCTGGAGTGGCGGATAGCACGTGAGCTCTTGGTCCACGGGATTGAAGCCTAACGGAGGCTCCAAGTTTTGCTGACGTCTCAGCATACTTCTGTTTGTACCCTCAGATCTGTTTTTAGTGTTAAAAAAATTCCAAAAAAGTAATAGAACCGTTGCAGCAGTTCCAGAAATTTTTTTGGAATAATTTAAGTATTTATATTTTGTAGCAAATTTGTAAGCGTTCTAACTTTTTGAAAACAATACTAACCTCTGTTTAACGTTTTGTTTCCTGCCTTCTATAATTTTCATGGCAGGTTACAAAGCGAAATACAACCACAACGTTGCTGAGATATTTGCAAAACTCTGGACCGCAGGTGTCTATGGTGGGGAACGAACGCGCTATTATCCTTTCCGGGGAGTAACGCGTTCACCACCACACCATGCGGGTCCTTTGTTTCGCACGTCTCTCAGCTATTTCTATCGATCTTTTTGCCACAGCAATCACCCGTCAGCGGGGTTGATCTGTAACCCAGTTAAGCTATGGCTATAGTTGAAATCACAATGTTTAACGTTTTGTTTTCTGCCTTCTATAATTTTCATGGCAGGTTACTAAGCGAAATACAACCACAACGTTGCTGAGATATTTGCAGAACTCCGGACTGCAGGTGTCTGCGGTGGGGAACGAACGCGCTATTGTCCTTTCCGGGGAGTAACGCGCTCACCACCATGCCATGCGGATCCTTCGTTTCGCCTGCCTCTCAGCCAGTCCTATTGTAGTTCATAAAATGTTAAAATCGTTATCTTTTTGAATTACTAAGCTAAAACAAGGTTCATGAAAAGATTTATTCGACAAGTTCTCGACGTCTTCTTCTTCCTCAGAGCTGGAAGACACCACATGGAGAGTACAACCGGCTGTGGGGCATCGACTCGGATCATCGGCTCTGAGGATGACGAAGCCGTCGAAACATTAGGCGAAAAAGTTCTCTTTAATCGACCTTGTGTTAGCTTAGCAATCCAAGATTGTATTGATTATTAATGCCGAGGTTAAATGACGATCGGTTTGTTTGACAGTTCGAAATAAGTTCACTTAAAGTATTCTTTGTAGATTGAAAAGACGCCAGAGTGGAACAGCAATGTGCAAAGCGTGGAACGCCTGGACATTATCAGTGAGCACGCTGATATTCTGCATGTAACACATTATACATTTTCTTCTATTTCATCTTTTTTGTAGATTCTCATACCTCATGGAGTGTTTGTCTGGGAACACTCTGTTTTCCTTTTCTTGAAAATGTGGGACTTTTCATGGAAAGCTCATGGGTATGACAGTTAAGGATCGCAGCAGCAAGAAATATGAAACCTTCGCAAAGTGTGCTTTCTATGCCGAAAGCAACTCATTTTCAACCTTTGGTATTGCAAGTGTTTCCAATTCACTATAACTCCATCCTGGCTGTAGAAACCAAAAGAACAAAAAGAACTAATTTCAGTACACAACATCTGATGTGATTGTTATAAAAGGACGGGATTTTGTTGTTTGCCGTATGTGGAGAAAGGTTCCTTTTTCATTTATTGGGATAATCGTTCTTATTAAAGACTCTTCCAGAGGACAAATGATACAAATTTGAGCACTACAGTAATCTATAGCAGTGTTTAATACTATTCTTGAAGGTTGGAGATTCTTATGTGGTAGCAGCAAGCAGCTTTGAAAACAACGTTCCCATAGTTCCCAAGAAAAAACGGTGCGTTCAACAAATTGCATAGCCTACTTTCTTTTATTCTCTTAAATTCGTTTTAATGCATAAAAGTGTCGCAAAATATTCACATGGTGGCAAATCTCCCTCTGATCCACAAGGGCGCCGACTACCTGTAGTGGTGACGACTTGGCGCAGACTTTGACCAGGCTGACTTAGAAACTCCAGGGAACCACAATCGCTAAACCAGCAATGCTCCGAGGAATGGAGGGTGCTGGGGCTCGCACAACCTGTGAGGATGGGTCGTCCAAGTAGCCAAGTATCCGAGCATAAAGGTGTTGATTTCCCGTGAGAAGAATAAACTCTGTCGAGAAATCATGGGGCGAACCTTGAAAATCGGTTTGTGTTGCACCTTTCTGTCTTTCAGAGATAAATGGTATGCAAAAACTGGGCCCAATGGAGAAATATGGAATGCATGATGAAATGCATAATGAATGCATGAGCACGGAAATTCACGGGTTTGGAAATGCACGAGGAAAAATCATACATGATGTTGTTTTCATAGCTTAGTTCTTTTTTCGTCTAGGTGAAATGGAAAGAAGCAGAAGCATAATGAACAGTTTGTTAGCATATGAATTAGAAGTTAACGAACAAACTCATCTGTTGTCTATGGAAGAATCTTGGGAAGTTCATGTAAAAGTTTGTTGGCCAGGACAACTACAAATTAGTATTAGGCATCTCAAAATAGATATATAGTGTCGTTATCAATAGCATCGACGACGAAATTGGATTGCCCTGGCTTTACCTCGTCGCCAGAGAAACAATGAAAGGTTCTGAAGGCGCGATGTGTGAGGTATTCTCTGTCAATCTACCAGCGTAGTGCGCTAACAAACGGAGCGCTACTGGAGTTACTCGGAACTCCGAGCGGCTAACCACACTCCTTGACTTGAGAGAAAGAATAATGAAATATTTAAGAAAATAAGTGTAGTTCTTTTAGCTAAAGTTATTTGAAATTGCAATGAATAAAAGTTTGCACGACTTATGCTCGTTGTTCTCAATCAATTTGTCGGTGTATTACCAAGAGCAATCAGAATAGACTATGTAGTCGTCTTTCTCCGGACATCACACGATCACTAGGAATGTGCAGTGAAATGTCCAACTGGGAAAGTATTAAGTCAGAACATCGTGTTGTAGTACTATGCCATCTTTATTTTGACATATTTTTTGCATCTTCTCTAACGATGTGCAAGGTTCCTGCTTGATGAAACCAGCATGACGCTCTAGCCAGTTAGGAAGAGCGGACAAGACAATTGATGCCCATATTTTTGTCGCTACCTAGTTATAATTCTATCTCATTAAGCTTTATTCCACTCATTGATCAGCCTTCACAGATTATTCTATGGCCTAATTGTTTTACCTAATTATAAGTTAGTCATTGCTCAACAAGAAAGTAGAGAATTATCTGGTCAATGCCGAGGTTAATGGAAAATTGGTCGTAGGAATTGCTATAAGTTACCCACTTGAAACGTGTTGAGCCCACTTAAACAGTGGAAGTTTTGTTGAGTTTCAGTTAGGATTTGATTCAATGAATGTCTCTATGAATCGAATCAAATGTAACGTGCACCCTAGGAAAGTGATAGCCGCCATGAACTTAACCCTTTTTGCAACTGTGTTAAAAATTTGTGATATTATGTTACTATACACTATATAATTACTGTTTAAGGTAAAGCTATTCTTTATAGAGGATGGGTGAACGTGGGCGCTGGTAAATTCACACCAAATGCTTCGGATCCGTCTCAATGTGTAATAGAGTTTATTTTATCAGTTGATCTGAGGGATAAATTAACGCCGAAGGCGGTAAGAAGTTCTTCGTTACTCAAGCAAAAGTTTCCCAAACCAGCGAATGGCTTGGAAAATTGGATGCTTTAATTATAGGTTTTAAGTACCGGAATCGCTGATACAATGATCAGTGACGCGAAAAGCGCCTACACACATGTCGAGAACGAGAAAAGCGCTAAACAGAAGGAATCGTGAATATTTTAAACGACACTTTGTATATTTTTTACAGTAATCATTAGAATTGATATGCTGAATAAATTCAACTCTTCTATGTGCTGCTGTTTTATAATAAACGCTACTGAAAACTGGCAGGGTGAAAAGATTTTATCATCTAGTTTATAACTGGAAGAACAGATTACAATATTAGCGCAGTGACTTACCTCAAATTCTAAAGAAAGGCGGACCACTGAAATTTCACAATAGTTCGATTTCTAGCAACTCATAACGACAATGACGAACGATATAATATTTGAAATAGGACTTCGTTTTCTATAAAACGACACACACCTCGGATCGATTCCCGCGCCCATGGCCCATCAAGCCCTCCATCCTTCCGGGATCGGCAAATTGGTACCAGATTTGTCTGGTAGGATAGCAGCAGCACTGGCTCGATATATCAGTAGGCCACTGTGAGTCATTGTATAGGCTAGATATGCATTCAATCACCTTCAACGATACTTAATGAAGTCGAATGCATGGCGTATCTCTCAGGGATTGATCAACGCCAAGATCTTTATCCTTTTATTCTTTACGAAATTTTTGCCAAAGTGTTTTCATGAACGAACAATGTTATAATCGTTTTTAAAAGATGTAAAAAAAGGTGAAATGAAGGATATAAGCGCTGGTTCGAACTTGTTGGATGAATGGTGGCATAGTTGCAATTACGACGAAAAATCATCACAATGTTCTTCTGCAATGTTTGTGAGAAATCTGCGCGTCGACTCTGAGTTACGGTGCAGGGGCAGCGTTCGTCCATTCCGCTTGTTTTTCGAAATTTAGTACAACTTTCCGATATTAGGCACGATTACACTGACTCGTCTCTCACCAACCCTGACCCATGTCCAGGTTTTCGTTGTGAGAGAAGAATTACAGAGGAAAACAAAACGAGGTGTTTTCACCTTCAGATGTTTCTTATTCTTGTCATGACGTTGTCGATGCTCTGTCTAAGCCACAGTCCGTTCCTGTTTACTCAACTAAGAAACGGATATATGCAGTGTGAGCACTCGGAAGCATTCGTCTGCTCGAGTAATCGCCGAAAGTCCATTTAATTCTCAAGTAGATTGTTTTCACTATGGCCGCAAGCTCGTTTTACCTCTTTCTCGCTCAGAATCTCTGCCATATGGCTACTGTTTGGTGTTATACGGATGGAATAGGAAAAGTGAAGCATAAATTCCACAGGTCAACTTTCACTGTCGTTTTATTCCATTTCAGCTCCAGCATTACTTACCCACCAATCGTGCTGGACAATCTTTGCGGAGTAGTATCGCTCTGTGTCTCACCTTCACTTGCGTCAGTGTTGTTGCAGAATTGAGTTGTTAAGTCGAAGACGTTTTTTAAATCCGAAATTTGAAGAGAGTACCGCCTGATGTGAAACTAGATGAGTTTCGTTTTCACGGTGTGTGTTCCACAGCTTCGCACCCTTTTCTAAAGCCTAATTGCTTACACTGTCGTCGATGGTGAATTAAACCTGTTGAATAGGTTTGGAGCTAATATTTTGTATACAGTTGAGATTCCATCCGATTAATAGAGAATCATTGCTGTTTAATGTTTTTTGGCCCACAAAGGTTAGAAAGAGAGGAATTCAGCCCTCTGCATAGACTTCTGTGTTCCTCGTCACAGTGGGGACACGATCCTGATAAATGAATCTATGTTGGAGCTCCTATTTATTAAAATGGTTAGATTTGGTCCAAATTTCTTGAAATGCACCATATGAAAAAGATCAACTTAAAGTGATTGTAGAACAAACTAAGCACAAAAAGATGATCCTCCTTGATCTGGACGAATGTTTGCATTGCTTTCCATGTCTCTCTAGTCCTAGGATTTTGAAGATGAAAACACTGTTATTTCGGTTACATGACACCTATTTCTTTGTACTGACGTCTAAAGTCCATTGAAATAAAATACGTTAAACAGATGCAGCAAAGAAAAAAAGACGCCGATAAGTAAATAAGACTATGGCGAAAACAGATACCAAAAACCTGAAGGCTACTGATTACACTGCTCCAGCCGTCGAAGTAACCGAATGGGAAAGCGTTTCTTCATCATCCTTCGAGTCTTCAAAAAAATTCTCCATCGTCGCCGCAAACAAAATATCGTAATTCTGCAACGGGTACCATAGCCTTGAATAAATAGTTTTAAATAAAAAAAAACATTCCAACATTGCTAATCAATACTACCAAAGAAGAGCCACGTGTAGCGCAGTAGTTAAAGACCCCATGTCATTGCTGGTCACTGATTCGATCTTACGCCCCAGGTTCACCGGTTCACCAGGCCTTCCGTCCCTTCAGGGTTGGCAAATTGGTACCAGACTTGTAGGGAAGGATAGCAGCACCGGTTCGATACATCGGTATGTCACTGTGAGTTATTACAAAGGCTAGATATGCATTCAATCATCTTCAACGATACTTAATGAAGTCGAATGCATAGCGCATCCCTCAGGGATTTATCAACGCCGAGAGCTTTAGCTTTTCTTTAAACAGTTGCCAATACAAGCACCGAACTCGTGAACACCAAAAGACACATTAGCGATTACTCCCAATACAAGTTGTTTGTTGAAAAGCTCAAAGAAGTAAAAGCCTATCAAACCCCGCTAAGTTATACAATCGGGAAGCTCAGATCGCACCCGGATGAGACTAACGAGTTGATCGAGAATGGAAGAGAATTGAAAGGGTTGCGCCTGTAGCAGAGATAACACGATCCATAGTAATTGCTAGTCAGCATCCGGAAATTACTCGGGAAGACAAAGAAGTGCCCTCAGAATCTATATTAATTAATTTTCCGCTATGAACATTGATGATCAAATATAAAGGCATTACTTGTTAAGCAGTCGCAAGGTTGTTATACAGTATACATGTAATTTCATACAAAAACACACAATACAACAGTAGGTGACGTTTCAGCAGTATCGCCTTCTTTAGAGCTCTTTTCACGTGCGTTCCACTGAGGAAGAACCACTGATTACAGCAGCATTTGATTGAATATAATGTATTAATAATATCGATCAATAAGATTAATCAGTAATATTAAATACAATATAGCAATCATGTGCGACGATGCGACACACGTTAAAAACGGCTCTAAAGAAGGCGATATCGCCAAGACGTCAGCTGCTGTTGAATTGTGTGTTTTTGTATGGAAGCAAATGTATGCTGTGTAACAACCTCGCAATTGCTGAACAAGAAAGCGACGCATTTTTATAATCCAATGCCGAGGTTAACTTAAAGTCGATCATGGGAACTAAAGGTATTACTACACATCGAATACCATAGCACGAAAATGACTGCAGGTGAGGTCTAGTTTAAACTTTTCCTTCTCACCACTGCGATTGCAGACTATGAAATCGCCGCTGAAGAAAAAACTGCCACGGATTCCATGACGAGAGCTACATCTTCGGAAGTAGATCGTATCGTAGCAGACCTCCTTCAACGAACAGGCTGATTTCGTGGAGGCCAAGAAACCGTGAACTCGTCCACGATTAATAGATATCAAAGGTTAGTTTTTCTCATAATAAATGACAAATTCTCGGCAGTTAGAGGAGTTATGTGGATCAGAACGCTACCAAGTTATAGAAGAGGCCTTGCTTCATCTATCTAGAAATAGAATATTGCTCTAAGTACTACATTTCACCATATTTCACCTAAAAAAACATTCTTTTCAGAATTTGGAAGGACTTCGCTTTTAGCGTTGAATGCATTTCGATATTTCTTTTAATCAACTGTTCTATACAGTAATCATGACCCATTTTACAACGAAAAGACTATGTTCAACATAAGTGTTCAGCGTTCCATTTCCATCCCAATTGAAGAAAGAAACACTCATCTCATTGACAAAAGTTTGCAGATTGCGGTATTCGTCACTAAGTTTATTATAAACTGAGGTAGATTTATGCGAGATATAACCATAATGTTGCTAAGACATTTGCAAAACTCCGGACCGCTTGTGTTTGCGGTGGGGACCGAAAACGCTGTTACGCTTTCCGGGACTAAAGGCTAATGCATTCACCACCACACCATTGGAGAGGCAGACGACACAAAGGACTAGCATGGTGTGATGGTGAATGCGCTAGCCTCGGAAAGCGTAATAGCGTTTTCGGTCCCCACCGCAAACGCTAGCGGCTCAGAGTTTTGCAAATGCCTCAACAACTTGTGGTCAAGTTTCACATAACATCCTGCATTAAAAAATAGTATATTTAATTAAGTATATTTAATTCAATGTTTTTCTTCAATAAGCACACACGAGGTTGTTATTATAGAGTTTATTAGAATACAAGAGCTGGCGCTTCGGCGGTTTTGCCTTCTTCAAAGCCATTTATTAGTTGCACGTATTCGCATAACATAACGAATCGTATTTCGCTTAGTACCCTGCCGCGAAATTATAGTAGGCAGAAAATAAAAAGGTATAACATTGTGATTTTAACTACAGCCGCAGCTTAACTGGGTTCTATGCCGATTTGGGCACCCCAGATCAATCCCGCTGACGAGTGATTGCTGTGGCAAAAGATCGATAAAAATAGCTGAGAGACAGGCGAAACAAAGGACCCGCATGGTGTGGTGGTGAACGCGTTACTCCCCGGAAAGGACAATAGCGCGTTCATTCTCCACCATAGACACCTGCGGTCCAGAGTTTTGCAAATATTTAAGTTAGTTGATGGATAGCAGCCGCACAGAGTAATACATGGGCGAGGACCGTGCCTGTGTCAGGCCATTGGATTAGCCTGAGGTATGGCGCCAGGTCACGCCTGATGACAAGGCACTCCTCCTTACGGTTCATTTTTGAATTTTTGGAGTTGATCCAAAACGCTTCAAGAGTTTTACGCGCTGATGTTCGATTCCTGGGTGAGTACAGTTACTCCTACTTCAAAATCTTCTCCGTTGTGTTCCTACATCCTATGCGCGCCTAGTGGTGTTTGGTTTTAATTTAGATTTACCGACTGGGTGTTCTTTTATGCGGACGCAGAGCGGTCTCTACCTGTTTCG